AGCGCTGAACGAAGCGCCCGCCTCTCAAGAGGGAGTCGGGCGTCTTCGAAGTAATTTCTACGATTTTGGGCTTCTCTTGACTGGAAGTAAACAAAATTCCACGTATAGGAGAAGCTGGGCGTTCGACGGTGATGCGCGTTAAGCAGCCAGCGGCGCCTTTTTGCGTGCGAAGCTGTTGCGGCGAAAGCTCGCACGGACGGAACTTTGGTTCTTTGAGCCGTGACATTGAGGGTGACGTTGCATGAAAGCTGGGTTTTTAGCTGTTCTGCACTTTTTACATATCCCAGTAAATAAATTTAACATATTCTAGCTATCAATCACAGTGCACGCTGTCTTCCGACGAGAAACATTCCCGGCTGGGTGTTGTCCCGTCCCGTCTTTACGTATATAACTCTTTCTAAACCTACATCATTACCAACGCGCTCACTAACAAGTATTCCCGGCTTCTACAAAGTGCAACCACTGCACTTGTTCACTTATTTGCCTAATTCACATTGTCGTATGCTCCTTTGATGTCCAAAAATGCCAGCCATAACGGCCTTTGCATTGTTGTTGCTATCTCTATGCACTGTGTGATTACGAATAAGTTATCCTCCAGCCTTCTACAGGGTGCGGCCGTAAAAACTTTCACATTTGGCACGCCTAGCAAAAAACGAATTTCAAACATACATATCTGAAATTGGGCACACGAACGTCGTTTATTCCAAAGTTTTTTGCCTATTTTTTTCAAGCATCAACTCTGGAGTAGCGAATTATTAGAAAGATAACAAAAATGGCAGGCGTGCATTTCCTATGGCCTATACCCGCCCGTTCGCCGCCTGCTATCTAATTCGCGACGCCGCTCCCAGATGGCGTACTGAACGCAAAAACGCGGGAAACGCCGCACGAAAGGCTGGTGTCGGGCGAGATAATCGCGATAAAAAGTGATTTTACCGAAATATGTGAACGATTATGCCCTTTTACTTGAAATTTAGAAACTGACGGACGCCCTCGTTTAATAAAAATATGTTCTAAAGCAGACGAACGTGTGTCTTCATTTGTCGTCTGCTTATCTGTTGACGGGTCCGTTCCCGGTGAAAGCTCAACTTTGGAATCAAGAGTGCCGCTGTTGAGGCATCTTGATTGTTCCTATTTATTGCTTTTGTTGCACTGTCTTCTGCAGTTATTATCAAAATATTTTCCGCGCCGCCCTGCGATGCCGCAATACTCGGCAAGTGAGTGCGCCCAGGCAGTCAAGTGGTACGTGGAGCGGAACTCGGTGGCCACAGCACAACGAAAATTTCGCACTGCATTTCATAAACGCCCGCCTTCACGCCCAACTGTTTTGAGTTGGGCGGATCGTTTTGTGAGTGGAGAAGACTGTAAAAAGAAGAATCCAGTCAGTGAACGTGAGAGCCTACTGAAAAATGAGGAGCTCATTGAAGCGGTGCTTGCTGTCTTCGAGAGCGACCCGCAATTGTCAACAAGACGAGCAGCTGTAAATAAATGATCTCGTCGCATCATGGTGTCTTCTTGCTTGCATGACGATCTGTCAGAAGTTGACTTGAAACAGGTAATTTCAACAATTGTTCATATATTTGGTACAAATCACTTTTTATCGCGATTATCTCGCCCGACACCAGCCTTTCGAGCGGGTTTCCCGAGTTTTTGCGTTCAGTGCGCCACCTGAGAGCGGCGTCGCGAACCAGATAGCAGACGGCGAACGGGCGGGTATAGGCAATACGAAATGCACGTCTGCCATTTTTGTTATCTTTCTAATAATTCGCTACTCCAGAGTTGACGTCTGAAAAAAATAGGCAAAAAACTTTGGAATAAACGACGTTCGTGTGCCCAATTTCAGGTATGTATGTTTGAAATTCGATTTTTGCTAGGCGTGCCAAATGTGAAAGTTTTTACGGCCGCACCCTGTATATCTTCTGAAACAATTTTGGAGATCTCCCAGTATCTGCTTGCCCTCTGCCCATTCTTATCTTTACAATCTGTATAGCTATTCAGTAGTCTACTGATGTTACTGTGATTGGTCGGTACGATGCGATACTGTCTTCGTCTTCCTTGCCCTTATATAATAGTATCATCCGGCTTAGTTTCCAATCATTGGGTACATCGATCCCCTCCCATAATTATTTGGTCAATCACCTGTCTTAGCTACTGTCTTCGTCTTTCTCGCCCTTATATAATAGTATCATCCGGCTTAGTTTCCAATCATTGGGTACATCCCCTCCCATAATTATTTGGTAAATCACCTGTCTTAGCTTCAGTTTGCTTATTTTGCCCAACATTTTAATCAGTCTCATTGGTATGCCATCTGGGCCTGTATCCAGTATTGCCAACTTGGAGTAAAGGAGGGGGGGGGGGGGGGGGGGGGGGGGGGGGGTAGAGCAACATATCATTCAAATTTGTCCCCACCCCTCACACCTTCCGTTTGTTTCCTTACCAAGCTGTCAACCGGGACCCAAGGGATGCAGTACTCTTATCTTCGACATGGTAACCCAGAAGCGGGGGAAAAACGGGACGGACTAGGGAGCCTTCGTGTGCGCTTTGCTTCATGTGCGCTTCATGTGCGAAGCGCACATGAAGGCACCCTAGGACGGACAACACAAAGCTCCAAAGGGTCGCTTCGTCTTGTCTGTCGTTTTTCCTCGCTTTTGGGTTTTGGGAAGGAAACAACCGGAAGGTTGTGGGGCATGGGGGAGTGGAGCTTTGTGTTGTCCATCCCATTTTTCCACAGCTCCTTGCACTCTTGCTTTAGTTTCAATAACTCTTCTCAACTTTACCTTTTCTTATTATTTAGGGTGTTTTACGTATGCCTTGAATTATCTCGAAAAAAGAGCACCGCGGTTAGCGAATGACGTTTTAGCGAACAGCGGTCATTTGAACGAATCAACATTTTAAGGAATACCTGGGGCGCATGCTAAGCCACTCCACCGGCTGCGTTCACGCCGCTTGGCGGCGACAGTCTGCAACGGCTCATGACAAAAATGTTAACCTTGACTCTAGACCAACGTTACTAAACCACTCAGTTGGGAAACTGCCATAGAGACTGCTCTTAAACAGTGTCCCCGATCTGTCCTCGAGCACCGAGCTAATGGCGAACACAAAGCCGCCAGTTCTCCCGCAGCGGCCACTCGACGAACTGCACGTGACGTCTATTTTAGCTTTAATCGGCCATTTTGGCGCCGAAACAGATACAGCGGAAGAGGTTACGGGGTGCCAGCCCCGTCTCCCCAACGGACGCGCCGCGTTTTACAACCGAAGTTAAAATGCACCTAGGTCGGGGACGCGCTACCTGAAAGCACCGCTGAGGCATGGTTGTCTAAAAACCATATTGTGCCGCAAAACCTTTCAAACTAAAAATTTTAAAAACATCACGCGCCCTTCATTTTGTACTAAACTCCAATAAATTTCATACAAACAGTCTTTTCCGTTTTTTTTTTTTTTTTTTTTTAACGCAAAAACAGGCTTTCTGAAAAGCTTTCTGAAAAGACAAATGATAAAGAGTGGCGCTGTTGTCGTATTTAGCTCGGTCTCGGTGGACGCCAGCGGCCCAGGTTTCGACAGCGAGTTTTCCAACCGAGTGTTTTAGTAACGTTGCTCCAGACAAAGCCCTCCGGAAAACGTGTCTTCAGCACGCTGCCCGCCAGCCTCCGCAACGCTTCAAAAACGCGACTTTTCGAGATGCAAGATGGCCGTCCGCTGGCCGCTCACGGAGCGGGGATGCGCGAGTCAGCAATTGTCATAGTGATCAGTGCACAAAACCGACTTGACTAATATGTAAATCTAGCCCAACTTTTTTTTTCTGAGGAAACAAGGAAGAACGCTTGATGTTATAGAACTAGAGTGAGGAACAATCAGATCATGTCTTTTATGGTTTTGCCAATACCAGAGGCATGACGGGAGGTCTCAGACACCCCGTCAAAATTGTTGGGGGGGTCCGAGATCCCTCAAGACCTTTCGGACTTTAAAGGGACACTGACAGGGCATTTATGCTCGCCAAGCTTTATATTTGTACACGACATATGAGAGCCCAACTACCCAGAAAACGGTTAACGGCTCGAAATTCCTTTTCTATCCACCCAAAAACCACCGATTGAGAACTGGCCAGCTTGAGTCGCGCTCACTCTCTTCTTCGTGGTTATGTGCCGTTTTCTATGGTTTAGTTTAGATATAACCACCAAATATATTTAAAGTCGTGAGTTGTTCAAGGCACACACACAATATTAAAAATATAAATGAAATACGATACCCATTTGTTGTGGCTTCTAAAATGCTGCAAATATATTGAATACAGGGGAAAAAAGTTGCACAGCCACGCAATTTTGCCAACTCTCTCTCCTCCATATTTCTTCTTCCTCCCCAGTCCAGTTTTGGTTTCCAGCAGTTGCAGTTTTTGACTATAAAAAATATATGCGACGCTATAGCAAAATAGTGATCCGGTAGTCTTCCGACACCGCAAATCGCCTGGCAAAAAAATAAAAATGTTTTTGGAGGTGTCAGTGTCCCTTCAAGCACTGCTTCCGCAGTGGTTACGTGTGCCACTCAGATAGTGTGCAATTCGGTCCGAAAGCGCTCAACGACAAGCAGACTACGCAGCGGATGTGCTTCAAAGTTAACCAAAGTCATACGCCCTGCGTCTTCTGCGAGAGCAATGGTGACTTCCGGCTGCTTCAGTATCTGGGTCATGATAGCCATGATATTTAGCCATGATATAGTTTACAGAATGTCACCACCCCAACAATGTCGCCCTATTTCTCGACCGATTTAACGAGGCTGTCGACACGCTAAGCAGCAGGTCTACCAATTCAAAACAGTTGTTAAAGTTCTGCAACTTTCCTGGGTTAACATAGAGCCCCTGAAACCAAGAGGTCATATTGGAATTAAAGCTACTATTAACGCGCTGAATAGGTTCTGTGTCACCTGTGTCACATGAAAATAATAATTTGGAATCACTAATTTGGCAAACTTACCAAGTGAATAAAAACAGACTTTAATTAGACACAAAATACCTTTTGATGTGCATTTAATTTCCGTTCTTTTCACAAATAAAGGTCATAGACAATGTGCGAGACAGTTGGTTTTTTCAATACATGAAACAGAGTGCCGGTACATATACAGATACACACAAAAAACAACCCCCCCCCCCCCCCCCCCCCAAAAAAAAAAAAACAGAAAAAAAACACACATAAAGAATGTGTTTCTGTCACCGACCATGGTCGGTGACAGTTTCAGAGTTCAGGGGAAGCTCTTGCCACCTCTTCCTGCTTTCGCAGAGCGAACACTGGAGAGGAGGTCGCCGACTCTACCGCGTTCACTCTGCTAAAGTGGAGAGAGGTGGGAGGAGCTTCCCCTGAACTCTGAACCTGTCACCTACTATAGTTCCCTATGACTAGGGTTCGGAGTTTTCGGTTTAAACTGATAAAAGTACGCCGAATTCATTTTTGAAAATTTGCTTTTAAACGAAAAAAAGGCCAGTTTTTAGGTTCGGCATTTTCCATTTCCCTATAAAAGTATATGTCACATCCTGGAAAAGGTCACTTTAACCTTTCGCCACCGCAGAGCCATGGCGAAAAAGTGGAACGACAGTGTCTATCGAAACGTGCCCAAATATATGGGATACATGGATGCCATTAAGACGTTTTGGTTTAATGTGCGCATCATCGATCGGAACGTGAAGTCCGAAATGCCGCATGACTTCGCCATGTACGAGCGTGTTTTCAAACTTGTAAGGAAGACTGACTTGATGCAAGCCCTGCATGTTGTGTTGTGCTTCAAAACGTCGCACCGTGTCTCTTTTGGCGGTCACAATCGGTTGATTGGCCGATTTTGGCTCAGGCAGCGCTTCATCTCCTCAGCCTGCCAGAGTCCAGTGTTAGCATTGAAAGGGCATTCTCGAAGCTCAGGGTCATATTAACAGGAAAGAAAGAGTGCGGATCAACGAGGAGAAACTGGGAAGGTATGCGTGTGTGTACTATAATAAGATCGTGTAATTATGACATACAGAAGGCGAGTTCCATGTTTTTTGGGCATAGGCTTCATATCAGACTTGTTTTTACTTCTGCATTTTTTTTCTTGATTCTTTTACAGTAGCACACATTTTCCCAATAAAGTGTCCATTTCCTTTTCAATATATCTGTGCCGTTATTTTTTTGAGTGATCAAAAATTCCAGAGCTACAAGGATAATCTGATCCGGTGTCCGTTGCTGTTTATTTTATATTCACCGGAAACTTTTGTGGACATAAATATACGCCAAAAAACAAACCGAAAATTGAAGTTTAAAGTAAACACAGAAAAAAGTATGCCGAATTTAAAAAAAATAGAAACCGAAAACGCGGAACCTTACATATGACATATTTTCGATTGAATTTAATTTGGTCATATTTGCACATTTCACCTTTGTGACACAAGTAACACAAAGCAACAAAAAGAAAGGCAGTCAGAAGGCACCAGCCAATAGAAACCTTTATTAAAGGGCAACTCCGGTCAGAAACGAAACCAAAATAAATGACTGCTATCGTTTTACCAGAGTACTCAACTAAAACCGATTTTAAAGATGCGACCAGCTGCTCTTTAGCAGGTGGCAAGCGGGTTAGCCTTTAGACAAGTAAGCGACACGTACCGCAGCACCACCGTGACGTCACACCGTGGTGGTGCAGCAGTTAATTCCGCAAGTTGTACTGCGTACTGCACCTCCACAGTGACGTCACATTACAGCCGTACACCTGATGACCAGTGTTGCCATCCCTCTTTAGCAGATAGTTTCAGTTTTGCCGCAGACGCCCGAAATCAAACTTTAAGCTGCGACATTTATATCATAACTACTAGCAAAATCGAAAAAAAAAAAAAAAAAAAATTGTAATTTAGGGACATTGACAGAGCTGAAAAGTTTTCATCCTCAATTTAAAAATATCGACCGGAGTTGCCCTTTAACGAACATGCTAACCACACAAACTTGCAGCATAACATAGGCAATCTCTACCCCTGGTGCACCAAGCTGTAGGCAATTTATGCCCAAGCTTTCGACTTGTGCAAAACAAAATAGAACAAACAGAATAGCAAGGAAATTATTAACGAAATTTCATCAGTCACTCTTCGTGGCCTGGTGTCATTTCACGTGCAAAATTGAAGGGAAGATGTTATCCATTCCCCCAAGCCTTGATTACAACCCTCGAAGTCGCAGCTAGAAGAGCAATCCAGCACCTAGCTTGCAATACTGGTGCTGTCAACCACCTAGAAATAAAATAACAGAATTGAAGACAAATAACATTTTTCTGACCTTGCACTGAGAGAAACATCAACATATGTTTTCTTTACACTAAAATAGCCACGAGAGCTACACTAATAGTCTGTGCAGGTGAGTTATACGGCCAGGGGAGCACAAGAAAGGAGGATCATCGTCATAATAAATCTATTAATCAACTAAGATGTGTTCATTAACCTTTTAAATATTGAAGATAAAGACATGGCTCCAATCAAAGTTTCTGCGAGTCATCGAAAACCACTAAATAAGTAAACTTCAGAAAGATTTGTGGCGAGTGAGAAGTGTGGCGGTGTGCTAAAGTGACCACACGCGTATTACAGGCGCAAGGCTAGTGGTGCAAAAACGCGCCCTCGCAGTTTTTCCGCTTCTTGCATCCACATTTTCGTACCACCAGTATTGTGCTTCCTGCACGAGTCTTAACTAGTGCAACATCTGCCACAAATATTTCTAAAATGTACTCATTTAGTGGTTTTCGATGACGCTCACCAAGTTTCTAACTGGAACCACACCTTTATTTTCAATAATTAAAAAGTTCTATTATCCAATTCATTGCGTCATTTAGCCCCCTATATTACGTCCCCTTGCCCGTATAACTCACCTGCACAGGCTGCATTAGTGTAGCTATCATGCTTTTTTAAACAAAAGTGTAAAGCAGAAAAAAAAAAAAATTATAACCCATTTCATTCATTTTTTTAGTTATTGTATACTGCAGACCAAATGAATGGTCCAGGCAGGAAGGGCAGAAGGGCAATACAGCAAATTTCTTACAAGTAAACATGGCATATACTGGTAGCCCCACAGTGCTGCAAGGTGGCAAGGTATTAAGTCAGGCATTCAAGAGGTCAGAGCAGAACAATGGGCAAGTAGTTGGAGGCAGCATGAATCAATTTTTGAGTTTTAGAATTCAGAGTGAAACCACAACATACACTACATAAGAACAGTGACTGATTTCTCATTTTGTGGCCTCGTTTCATGTACATGCATATGAAACAAAACAGAAGGGCCATGTGTGTATGAGAAGGTTGGTGCCCCTGACACAGTGAGATTGTCCAAAATCTGCAAGCCCGAAAGACTTTGTGGTCCTCGGCTATCGCAACAAATGTTAGCACTCACAGTAGTTTACTTTTAAATTCACCAGCTCGCAGAGCGCAGAAGTCAATGAAGCATAGATGACAGCTTCTCCAGTCCATATTTCCGAGGGTAAAAGTGCTAAAAACAACGGACAAGTAAAAGAAACGAACGACACAAACGCTCTGTGTCGTTCGTTTCTTTTACTTGTCCGTTGTTTTTAGTGCTTTTACCCTCGGAGATATGGATCACCAACTAGCCCAAGTGCATACCCTTCTACAATTCTCCAGTCCAACCCAGACACAAGTCTGGAAATCGATGAAAGGATACACGGAACAAAATTGACACTAGCTTGCCTCAATTGTGCTTCGTTTCATGCACAGCAACCAGAGGCCGTGGACGAGGAAGAAGACTGCTAGGATGAGTCCCGCTGCAAGGATACACAACAAAGCATTAGGGTGGAGTAAAGTGGTCACACATCCATCTTTCACCACCCCAGTCCTGCTAGCTCTAGGACACCTGAAAGCTGCATATTGCAAGCTTTCACATCATCACTGCAGAAAAAAAATAATAATCAGAATAAAAAGATTAAAAATGTGTCCTTGTTTTTATTGAAACTTTTGCCTCTTTCAGCTGTGAAATATGTAAATGCTGTATACAAACTTAACTCATTTACACTGTTCCTCTGACCCAAATTTCTCCAAAAGCTGTGAGCATGGCCTCCTGCCCATATGTATAGCACTGAATGAAATAAAAGTTGAAATAAAAGTTAACTTAGTTGAACCTCACTGACAGATTTTCCCGGCTGTGATATTCACAAACACCGGTCCCGTTGAACTACCATAGGAAGTCGGACACGTCCGTTAAAGGGGAACACCGCCGATTTTTTTTCTACCTAATCCAAAAGCATCATTTTAATGCGGATGGCTTCCCGATTCCGAAATGCTATCTCGTTTTCCCAGAATCACTCTAGTTAATTAAAAAAGTGATAGTTTGTTCGCTGCCGCAACCGAAAGAAACATCATTCTCCCTAGTTTTTCCCCAGTTTTCCCCGCCACCCCAACGCGAAATCACCGGCGGGCAGCGAGGCACGAGGCCGGCAATCGGGTACGCTCGCACCCACCTTTCTCGCAGTTGACAGTGAGAAAACCTGATCGTTCCTGCTATGTGGAGTTGACAATAATCTCTATTTGCACAAAGTATGACTTTGGCCTACATACTGAACTATGAGAAAATAAAAAAAAAAAAAAAAACGGAAGCAATTCGGATTTTGAGAAAACAGTTTTTGCAACTCGATACGCTCAAGCCCGTGGCTCGCTAGTTTCTTGAAATCGCTGGCAAGTCCGTTCCCCTTCTATCAGAAGCTGGCACGTACGCTGGCAAAGGTATGTCGACGAGTACATTTTTACATACATACAGTACATATTACAAACCATTTGACAAACCAGGCAATGGCTCCATCGTATATTCATGGAGCTCAACGCCTGCTCCCTAAACCTCTGTAATACCAGATAAAAAATAGCAGTGTGTCGAAAGTCATGTCTAAACTCAGACTTGAACTTTGCGTCGACGTTTCACTTCTCATCTTCAACAGTTCGGCTGTGTGAGTGGAACTCCGAGAGTAGCCCGAGCAAGATTCGATATTCGAAACAAATATAATGTATATAAAAAAAGAAAAAAAAAACAGTGAAGCAATTGTAAACAACAAATGTGACTGCGCCAAATGGCGACTATAGTGCTATAATGTGCACCATTTTTCTCAATATTATTAGTGCTCCTCTTTGGACGGATGTTGTAGTGGTTACAGCCGGCTTGAGTCAGCACTTGCCACTCTTGAAGCTTCTCCAGCTGTAGAAGGATACTGAACTCGCAGCACGCGGCTATAAAGAAGCTGTCTACTCAAGCCCGCAACTCTATAAACTATTCTGAGCATAAGCGAGATTGTTTCACGCAACGCTACTTCTCTTGGCACACAGTTCATGCAAATACCTTGAAATGGCTGACCCCCATTTTTTTTTTTTTTTCTCCCACGAAAACAAGGGTGAAACAGAAGCTTTTCCCAGCACTGTTCCTACAATCTACCGCAGAGTACAGATTGATACCCACTGCAAAAGAACTTTTAACCTTGAAGCTGTGAAAACATAATCTAGAACGCGGGCACCCAGAAAGTTGCTTCGTGGCTGCCCGGATCGCTCGGATCGCTCGTCCACCGGCCCGCTGGTGACGTACACGGATAGGGAAAAGTAGGGATTTTTCGTTAAGAGGAAGAGATTGACCTCTTAAACTAAAATTGAGGTCAGCGATCAAAGTATAAGACGGGAAGGGTTTCGCGCGGGCATATTCCATTCAGCACGCCAGCCGGTCGTGGGCAGACGGTCGCAGAGTCGGAGTGCCTGCTAGGCCTATCTGCTGTGCTCGCTTGGTCGTTGTCGGTGGAATCGTGGCCGTTGGAGCTTCTCCCGGGTGTATGTGCATCCAGCGTTCTTGTTCGTCGTGGTCTATTTCAAGTACTTTTTACTTTTTTCTTGCTGCTTGAAGTCGGGACGCGTGCGAAGCGCACATAGAAAAATAAACGTCCGTTGGTCGTCGCGACCGCAACCCTGTCGGCCATGCTGATGTGATCGTAAGAAGTGCGTAAGACAGCTTCAGAGCTTTCGTAGGATTTCGTCGTAAATTGCGCAAAATTTGCGAAAATTTCGTTTCGTGAATACGAATTTGTTCTCAAGTTTCGTCTTACGCATATTTTTGGCGTAAGATCGTTTTGTGAACCTGGCCTCTCCACTTCCGAAAGTCGCAGGAAAGGTAAGACAGACGCAGACGACGTTGCGAGCAGACGACGTTGCAAAGGAGCAGACGACGCTCAGATAGGGGGTCGCGATCAGCCAATCAGGGCTCGGCGTTCTGACGTCACCGCTACTTCCTTTCTCATGCGCAGAAGATGAAAATGAGCCCACTTGCGAGGTGTATTGTGTCAACCACGTGACTCGATGCCGTCACACTCATGCTGCTCCACTTGAGTCGAATTTCCCGCGTTCGCACCGCCGTGTGTGCATCACACTTCAATGCTTTGCACGGGTCTGCCAGAGGCAGCAATTGACCTATGCAATATACTGTTGCACAATAGTTGCTTTCTGCCTCCTCTATAGACTCTTCAAGAGCATTATTGTTTGTGGAGTTACCCAAGGTCATGCATATTTTTATTGCGGTTCCCCAAAGAACATATCAACAAGGTTCTGCATACAAGCTGCATCAACTCTATGTAGGCAAGTCTAGCATAGTTTCTGCACTGTTCTAAAAAAGGGAGGTATAAAAAAAGGGGGGAAGACAAACAGACATATCTCTTTTCATTGACTAGTGCCAAAGATGTCAGTACTTGATGTGAACATCACTGAGTGGAAAGAGGAAAATAAGCACTCCCCTTGCCCCTTTATCAGCAAGGCTAGGTAGCAGCGCTGCTGAAACTACCTAGCCTTGACAATCTCGTACAGAAAAGTTGAAACAAAGTAGACTTTTTAAAGCTCAAAAAAAAAATGAGCTAAAATGCATGGTTGCCAAGACATTGAGTTAGAAAAAATAAACTGAACAAGACAGAGCCTGAATTTTCTTGACATATGTCGATTACATGAGCCTGAAAAACGTGAACTATGACAAAAGTTCTAGTTTGAGAAGGAGGCACACATACCCATGTAGACCCACCAGTACCCCGAACTGTGTCGAAGGAAGATCGTCGATACCTACAAGGAAATTGGAGAAAATTAAAAAAATTTCAAAAGCCACAGGAATACACTAAACTTGCCAGTCACATAAACATGTCCAGTCAATTTACAGGACTTGACACCACATGTAGAAGAAGAGTTAAGTATCTCATAAATATAGTTTTCACAGCTGCCTTATTGGTTGTACAGTGGGGAACAGAATTAGCGCAAGCATAACATAAGCACCTTTTGACAGTCTATGTCAGGCCAACATTCACAAACATCTACTTTTGTCCCCTAAGCTCCGACCACCCAATGAGCACATTGTCCTGCACTAATAGTTTCATGTGAGTGTTTCAGCAGTTAAAAAAAAAAAGAGAAAAAAAAAGAATGGTGTATCTTACTCGTGCTGAGTGTTGTACCCTGTACACCGAAGGGCACAGCATCCAACCATTTTTGTTCGACTCACCATCCAAGAGTGAGGTTAGCTACTCTTTGGAATGTTCGACAATCGTCTAATTACCAGAAATGACCGAATGACCACGAGGTCATTAAGTTAGCGTTTTTTAATGATATAAAATTAAGCTATGAATAAAAAAAGAAACGGAAGACATCTTTTATCTGCCTTCTTTGTTGTTGAATGTACTACAAAGCAGTTGCAAAAAAGTCCCTCACCATAATCAGCAACACAGCGACCACGATCGCCATTCCCACAACTATGCTGACAATGGCCTTACGGCCAACACGACCAATGGAAGACCTATAAAAAAATGTAAAAAACAAACAGAGCTTTGTAAAGATCAATTTTGTCAGCAGATGTTCAGAGAATGTTAGTTTCCATACCGCTTTCCACAAAGCCTACATGTGAAGCTTGAACCTGGAGCAGTGTCCAGCTGGAAAAAGGAAGGGAATACTCAACAATGCCACTCCTCAAATTTGCCACTACAATTGTAAAATAGCTACAAAAGCAGCCTATACCCGCCGTATGCATAGCGCGACCAGATGCCCCGTTTTGGACGGGACAGTCTAATGAAGCCTCATGTCCCGTTTTCGTGGGAACATGCATAGCAGTAGTTGCGAAATCAGTACTAAGCAAATACATAGAAGGAAACGGAAAGAATGTTTTCTTGTTACAGACGTAATGTTGTAAACATAAACATACTATAAAATATACTGTGTGCAAAAGCGTAGTTCTAAAGAATCCTTCGCTCGCTCAAGCACTCGCAGAGAGAACGCGCTTTCGAAAATCAGGCGCCCGCGCCCGTGCCGTTGCTGGCACTCAAAGTCATATTTTGAGCTGAAGTGTACGTCCGCCATGTTGGTTACAGCGAGAAACCAGCGGGGCGACAAGCATGTACAGTGGCCCAATTGTTTAATAACGTCAAGCAAGCGTCGACCGCCGGGACGGCCAGCGCTGTGCCACGGAGAAATGCGGCGTCACGGGAGAGATTAGGCGCGTGCGCACATACCTCTTTCCGTTGCGAGCGTCGTCTGCTTGGCTATTCCGTTGACCGCACACAGCCCCTGTTCATTATCTGCTGGCATAGCTAACCGCCTTTACGCAAAGATATGAACAGCGCTTGCTTTTATTTTCTCCTTTTTTTTGATACTACTCAGGCGTAGCATAAACCGCGCATCCATCTCTAGTTTAATTTACTTTTATTTTATTTCATGTTTGCGTTTACTTTTGTGAACACCAACAAAAATGAAAAATACGGCGACGCGACAAACTGAATGCAACGATGCATTAAACTATATACCGCAAACAATGCTACGAGCCATCAAACCAATCCAGTGCTTTCACCCTGCCACGTGACATCGTGCTTTCACGTGCAGTTGTATCCAACGGGAAGGCCACGTGACACATTTTTAGCAACGGACTGGCCAAGATGGCTAGTAGCGTCGGCTGCGGTACAACGCAAAGTAAAACGGAGTGTAGACAGGGTTTCCGCTTGGTATTTTATACTATCAACTGCGTTGTTGCTGTTGTCATCTAGCCTATGAAGCCGGGTAGTTACACTTCTCTTTGACCAGCGGGCGCTCGTGCGCATTTTTATGCCTCCTTGAGTGCCTATAGCGTATAGAAAAACGGGAATGTTTTGTGATTGTCGATGGGCGGCATAACGCAAAGGGATATAGCAACAACAGTCGGGGTTATACAGGCTACCGTCAAGAGGATTGTGAACGCATTCCAAGAGGAGGGGCGTATCGGCGATGCACCACGACACTGCAAGCGCCCTACCCTCCTTTGCTACGGAGTAGCGGCTGTGTACGATCAACAGAACAGCCTAGCAGACGACGCTCCCACCAGAAAGAGCTTTGTGCGCACGCGCTTAATCTCTCCCGTTTCGCTGCACGCCTCCACGGCACGGCGCTGGCCGTCCAGGCGGTCAACGCTCGCTTGATATTATTAAAACATTGGGCCACTGTACATGCGCAAGAAGACCATACAACAATACTAACCCTTAGCTCACAGGTGTGGGTGAGGATCGATGACGGTGAGCAATAGGCCTCGATTGTTACCAACAATGCTACGAAATTGACAAACAGCAGAGGAATCTCGATGCAACAAAGATGGCAATGCACAGAGTGTTGCCAGACATTTGAAAATTCCACGTATGGTCTGTTATACTGAATGCTAATAAATTTCCTTAATGAGCCATTTAGCACACAGCACGACAGCATCAACCTGTTTTTCTGTGCGATGCATAGTATTCGCATTTGGCCCGCGTTTCTAACAACATCTTGCATATATATCTGAATGCCAAAAAAAAAAAATATATATATATATAGTGTAAACGAGAAAATTTTTTGCAGGGACCAAATTTACGCGAATCGCCTACAATTCGCAAAAAATAGGTCCGGTGAACAATTCCGGTAAAATGTAAACACATTGGAATCTATACTGAGACCCCACTGCGTCGCGAAAATTAGAACCCGCGAATTATTCCGGAACTCCAGCTTTGACCTAGAACGCGAAATATTGAGCTCGTGAAAAATAAGTTGTTTACAGTATATATATAACAAAAGCACTCACCACAGAAACACTGTTGCAGTGACCGCAGACGAACCTACAACATGGTGCTGGCCTGGGTTCTGCAGCCACAGTTTCCCTTCGGCTTCGAGATTTGCGTTTGTCAGGTGCGGGCTTCTCCTGCACATCAATCTCGGCGGAGCTGGCACCCAAAAACAAGCAGAAGCCCCATCTATCACTTTTCTTTTCCTTTTAATTTTATACTAGTTGGAAACAAGGGAGTGTGTTCAATTATCAAGTGTTTTAACAGAGTATACATGCAGCAAGGACAGAACCCGATAGCCTCAAACTGGCACGCTTCTGTGTCTTGTTCTATTTGCATTCTATGCTGGAGCCAAAGTATTAATACACTTCCTAGAAGCATGCAACCCTTCTCCACATAAGCAGAAAGGACACTTACCAACCAACCCTGTTGCATTTTATCTTGGTGGCTCCATTGCTATACATGAGAAGCTTGTTGCAGGTGCACCTCACAAACCTCTTTCCTCGAGGAGGATTCCCCATCGCCTGAAATGTTGAGATAAGAATGCAGCATGTTCCCATTCAATGACATGAAGCCGGTTAAAGGTCACACAATCCCACCCATTCTCTGAAAGCAGTTAGAGAACAGGCCAAACAGCACAAGTGATGCCAAACACAAAAAGCTAGGGTTACGAGGTTTATTCATGAATGCATTGAAGGGGCACCAAACCACTTTCTGCGAGTATATTCATCCGACAGATCCCTCTGGTTTCTGCGATAGTTCTGAGGTAAACAATCTTTGACACCTCAGTTTGGTTTTTTAGGATGCTCAAAGCCTATAGACTGAGTTAGGACCATAGACTATCACAGGAAGTAGTTTAGTGCAACTTCAACTACCTCGCATCTGAAGGTCCTTGAATTTGATGAAGCAGGGGTATTATTCTCTGGTCTTGGCAATCATGACAGGTCCTACACTCGCTTCCTCTCAAGGTGAGCTGTACTGAAGACTTCTCTGAGCCATCTTAGTCACTGCAGGGATAAGGGACTGCTGTCATGAGATTTTGCCATGATAAAGAGTGATGTCCTAAGCATGAGGCCAAATAGCGTGCAATAGTCTTGTTTGGATCATTATATTCATTGTGACTCACTTCATAATGAGAGCAAGGGCCCAATTTAAGCGTAAAGTTGAACTGGATTTCGGCTGAATTAACTACGAGCACTGGTTTATAGGGACACTCACTTCACTGGCAGTATTACATGGGGAGCCAGCACCATCTAAGGTCCTTGTGCATTTTGGCAGCTTTTTTTCTTTTTTTTATAATTTTGAATTATTCTATAGGTAGCTTCATTCAATGCAACACCGTTTGCTAGGATGAGCAGCATGTTTTAAGAAAGTCAATAAAATATTCTTAGTCAAGTATGACAGAAAAAATCCAATATTAATTGGTATTCTTTTTTTTTTTTAAAGGTTATGTTGACATTTTAGCACTGTTTTTGAAGGCGGTCCAAGCACGCGCCTTAAAGGGGAACTCCGCCGACATTTTGAGCTACCTAATCCAAAGGCATAATCTGAATGCGGATGGCTTCCTGATTCCGAAATGCTATGCCGTTCTCCCAGATTCACTCTAGTTAATTAAAAGAGAGATATTTTGTTTGCTGCCGAAACCGAAACATCGTTCTCCCTAGTTTTTCCCCAGTTTTCTCCGCCGCCTAAGCGTGACGTCACTTGTGTGCAGCGACGCGCGGCCGGCAATCGGGTACGCTCGCGCCCGCCTTCCTTGCGTCTAACAGCAAAAGAACCGGGCCGTTCGTGTGGTTTGAAGCTGATAATTATCTACATTTGCACAAAGTATGGCCTTGGCCTACGTGCCTAACTATAAGGAAGTAAAAAAAAAAGAGGAAGCAATCGGGATTTTCATAAAACCGCTTTTGCAACTCGCTACGCTCAAGCCGCGGCTCGCTAGTTTCGTAATATCGCCAGTAAACCCGTTCTCCTTTTACTAGAAGATGGCAGGTTACTGGTCATGAAGATTGTGTTAAAATGACGATTAAAAGAACTTCGCAAACCACCAAGCCAAACATCAAGGTGCAATGGAATTCATTCATTCATTCATTTATTTTCTGTGCTCATGAACAGCTTGACGCCTTGGTAATGATGCACAACAAAATGTTCACAGGTTAGTTACAACAGTCTTGAAAGCTACGAAATTTGAGTTAAAAACATCAATATCTGCTCCCCTGAGAGTATTGTAGGAGTGTTGAATACGGGTCATGGGACTGGTTTGGAATGCGTATAAAATACACAAATACACTGTTCATCTCAAAATAAAGAATATTTTCTTGAAGATACAATAGTGCGTGAGGTACAGAAAGACATCATAAATCTTTTAATTAAAAATAAGTTAACAAAAGTTGCTAAAAAAATATGTACCCGCAGTTTTTCTCTTTACTTTTTGAGTAGAATGCAACGCGTTCAAACACCCATCCACGAGAGCACTTGGGAAAAGGGTAATTCTATACAAGATTTTTCTTTAAAATTAAGTTAGTTTAGCACAGTTTCCATCAGCTGTAAATCTGAATGCCTCCCTCAACAACATTAATATTTTCATGGTTAAATAAAAAACTTTTTAGCCCTATATAAAATTTCTCCGCAATAGAATAAATTAAAGACGTTTTCACCACTTTTTCTGCAAAGAATATTGCACGCCAACCATTTAACAAACCAGGCAAGGCTCTATCTATCATATTTTAATGGAGCTCAACACCTGCTCCATAAACCTCTGTAATAGCAGACAGGAATAGCAATATGTCGGAAGTCATGTCTAAATTCAGACATGAACTTTGTTTAGACGTTTCACTTCGCGTCTTCAACATATCGGCCGCGTGAGTGGAACTCCGAGAGTAGCCCGAGCTAGATTCACCGTCCGAAACAAAGGGGGGGTGATAAAAAAAAAATAAAAAAATAAATAAAAAGATAAAAAAATCACTGAATCAATTGTGAATAACAAATGTGACTGTGCAAAATGTCGACTATAGTGCTAGATCGTGTACTATATTTCGACATTATTAGCGCCCTTCTTTAGACGGGTGTCGTAATGGTCACAGCCCGCTTGAGTTAGCGCTTGCCGCTCTTGAAGCTGTTCCAGTTGCTGAAGGAAACAACTCGCAGCTCGCGGCTATAAAGTATTCCGAGCAAAAGTGAAAATGTTTTCCGTGACACTAGTTTTCTCGGCACACAGCTCGCGCAAAAGTACCTTGACGTGGCTGGCCTCCAATGCTGCCGGGGAACGCTTTTTTTTTTTTTTTCTCCCACGAAAACAAGGGTAAAGAAAGAAGCTTTTTCCCGGCACTGCTTCTACAATCTATCGCGGAGCACATATTGCTACCCATTGCAAAGGAACTTTCAACCTTGAGCTGCGAAAAAATTATCTCGATTGCTGGCGTCCAGAAAGCCACTTCGCGGGCCGCGGCTGCCCGAGTCGCTCGTCTGCCTGCACATTCATGACGTACGCGGGTAGGGAAAAGTAGGGATTTTTCATTGTTGCCAGTAGAGAGTCGCCTCCTGGAACCCTCGCGGCCAGCGTAACTTGAAAATTCAATAACTTCACGGAAAATTTTTCTTTTCTTAAAATATTTTGGTTATCATTTGGGAAAGGGTTATTGATGCGGTCTGCAAATTTCCAGCCAAATCGAAGTCTACCAAAAAATCGGGGGAGTTCCCCTTTAAAGCATCCTTCGAGAGGGTAGTGAGAGGGTGCAACACCCATAGTGCTTTAACTCCTTAAGTGCCACTTTTTTTTTATTAAAAAAAGCAACCTAAAAATGTTATATATTTTTACTAAGGAGTTTTAGTCTAGTATAACAGATAAAATTTCAAAAGTTTATTACGCAAAAATCAGTGGCAGCGAAAAAAAAAAGCGCAAACTAAAACGAGTGAACCACTGGACGAGCTGAGCTTGTCGATGGCGTTCTTAGTCAGAAAGCGGCCGAGCTCAGCTTGTCCAAGGCACTTAAAGGGTTAAGATAACACAATCTATTAAAACTTTGCAATGATTAACAATTTAGTTTTTAAATATAAAACACATCACTTTTTTTTTATGAAGGCTTAGACACTGGAAAGTTAGTCGGCCTTGAAGTGACATCAGTCTGGTGCCCTTGTTGTAGCTGGGCAATTGGCCAGCACAGTATAAGTGACGACCTGGGGTCTTTAACATGAAGTGCACAATAATGATTACATGACCTTCCGCCCGTACGATGCTTGTTCAAATTGAAATAGGCAAAGGTGGTGATTATATGCTGGATTCTACAGCACTAGCTTTTGCTCCATGTACTCCCAGATGCAATGATTGTCTATGTTGTGTGTTTGCAAAGAAAAAGAGACAAGCATAATTATCTCGTCATTTACTCTTTTTAGTAAAATTAAATCATTCACAAATCCTATGTTTTCAAAGATGTGCCTCCTTTCTCCCAGTCTTAACTGCTTAATCTTTATATTTAAGTTTGTTTCTTCTTTTGCTTTTCCCTAGGAAATACAGAATCCTGGTGCAATGCTTCATATCAATTCAAGTACTGCACTATGATTCACAAGAAAGAAGTTTATTGGCTGAAGAGCAGAGATTCGAACTATTTTCATTTGTTCTAATACCTCCAGGGGGAAAAAAAGCAAAAAACTAGACTGGGCTTTTATCTCCAGATAAGAAGAACATGTGATTTCTACACAACAATGAGGGCACCTTCCAGGAAATTATAGGAGGGAGGGAGGGGAAGTTGCACCGATAGTGGAACTAATACAAAAGCGGGTCCGATGAAACTGTGTCACCACAATCAGTGAAGTATATTATGCCCAAGAGACAAAGGGGGGAGGAAAGACAGTGGAGAGCTTAGGAAAGAACATCTTTGATAAATAACTGTTACTGTACTCTGCTGCACAAACTGTACATGAGCAATTGTGATCCACAAATAATTTTAGTGGCAACTCAAAGAAACAGTCGTGTCTTAAACTCTTTTCATGGCGCGCTCGTCGAAATCGATCAACCGTGATTGATGATTTGCCAGCCCCGTGGCAAAGCCTCCGACGCATTTCTGGACAAATCACGGCATCTGGTGGTTAGAATAGACAGTTTCAAATTCCGTATAGTTTTTGCACAGCACCTTGACGAGATGGAGATTTATTATAACCAAACACGCAGCCAAGGAAGAGCGCTCTGTACTGCAAACATGGTGTCTTCATCGCGCGGCGCGCCTCCTCGAAAGCGTTTGAAGTCTCGCGATTCGGGGGCATCTGCTGCCTTTTTTGCTGCCTATAGACCGTTCCATTAGGGTCATAGCAGAGAGGGTAAAAGAGAAAAAAAATGCACTCCCCCTCTCCCCCGCAAGCCGTCCACTCAGCCGAATGGGCTGTAGCTAGCGTCCGGCTGGCGTGCAAACTCTGTTTAAAATCGCGTCATTTTGGAACTTTCAAGCGCAGATGCGCAGATTTTGGTATTCCAGTTATCGTGTAATACTATGCTAGATAAAAAGACTCGCAGGGTCCAATTGCACTGTTACCTGCGTGCAAATAAAAAACAAAAATAGGGAAAACTGTGTCAGATTGGCCGGTCTCTTTGGCGAAAAGAAAATCCGGTTGCTGTACCTTTTTTACTATACAAAAGTTTGTACTGGTGTAGGCCTTTAGCGACCATGAGTGCAAGTCTGAAATAATAAATAAAAACGTGCTCTCCTGCCGCAATACACGCAGTAGTTGAGGGTAGTACTGCCGGCTGACTCAACTGCTATTTAAGTAACGGAAAAAAGATATGCTAGTTTATCATTTAGCAAAATAGAACAACAGAGAGCTATAGGCTGATTCTGGAGTAGCCACAACTATCCTAAGAACGCGAACCACTTCACAACGGCAGCCACGAGCGAGAGTTCGGTGTTCGGTAGAGCCCGCCGATACAGCCCAAAGATGGAGAACGGCAACCTCCCGGTTTGTCGTCTGCTAGCGGAGTCGGCGGCGTGCCCTCTCTCTCGTTTTACCCCGCCGAACCCGCTGAACTTCCCGGATGTGTGGAGAGGGCGCTGCGGTCGAACAAAATGGTGTCGGCCAGGGAGCGCTAAATGGAATGGTCTATAGACCTTTGCAAAAAGAGCTCTCTGGCCACCGCCATTTTGAGATTCGAGCAACGCATGAGCTGTGGAAACCCGGTCAGCGCGACTCCCCACCTGCATTGTGCATTCGGAGTTTGCCGGCTTTTTTTTACAGTTTTTACTTAATTGCCTGTTCAGGCTTAACCTTTGTGTGTTATCTTCCACTTTGAGATCCAGGGAATACTAGGGCTTGTAGTCTGCCTGGTCTTCGCAGGAAACAAATGAAGAGAGCGAACGTCAAGCAGTCCATAATGTGGGCCGTTTAACATTCTTCGAGGATTATTTCCATTGAGATAATCTCCAAAAAGCCTTCCCAGCTATGTTCCCAGTCTTCACAAAAAATAGCTGATAGGGTCAGACACGTTTGTTCATTTGCTTTGGTGCTGTGCAAAGAAAGGCAGTTCTCTTCAAAACATGCCCTAAAATAAGTCGGATTCTGTTCGATCGTCGTGAAGTAACTGTCGTCGACACTGTATATTGGATATGCTGCGTTATTTGAGACTTCTCAAATCCTGTTTGGATAACGTGGCACCGTGGGGTGCATACAATATATCTTGTTCGACTGATGACTCGTTGAATTTCATGTTGTGAGCGGGGATTACCAATGCATTTCGGCTATCCTATGTGGCCAAATATTTTCGACAGTTAAGAAATCAACATAAAATAAAACAAACATTCCAGTTGCATTTGTTCTGTCGCGCATGGACTCACCAAAAATAGCTTTTATTTGTTAGCTTTTGTTTCCAAAAATAGTACACTGCTTTCTTAAAGACCTTGATAAATTCTATTTGCCACAGAACACAAAAGCAGCATCCAGAATTGTGCCTACGCAGGCTGCCACAGCCCACTAACGAGAAAATCCATAGCCCAGCGCAGTCGGGCAACACCAACGTACACCCTCAAAACCAGGGAAGAGCATTGCAATTCGCTTCGTTCGAGGCTGCTGCTCGCAAGGTCTATCTATACTAGTACGAGTGAGTCGGGAGATGATGTCACATCATCCGATTTTAGTCCCAACAGCAATGATTTGTCAAATAAGCCCGGAACATTGACAACTGTGCATCTGAAGGTGTGTTTTGGTTTCGGTTTTTATGTTCTTCGCTGGCCTTGTGTGAAAGTCTGGGCAGTTTGTGCTTGTGAATGCATCTGGTGGTTAGATTAGACACTCTAATTTGAGTTTGTGCATAGTCTTTTTCCCCACGAAATGGCAATTTATCGTAATCAAAGGCAAAGTTGAGGAGAGGAAGAGCGCTTTTCGAAAGGTGCGCCTCCTTGGAAGCATTTCGAGTAGAAGAATCTGGAGTTGGGCAAGTTGGTACATCTTAGATTCGAAAAGCGCCAGAAAACAAGGACAACAGAAGGAATAGGCGAAACGATGCGCTTCGATAGACGAAAGCGCATCGTTTCGTCTATTCCTTCTGTTGTCCTTGTTTTCTGGCACTTTTCGAATCTAAGCATTTCAAGTCTCACAATTCAAGCATGGCTGCGGTCAATTTAGTTGACGACACTAGCACGAGCGAGTCAAAAGATGATGTCAGACCATCATACTTTAGTTCCGACAGCAATGATTCGTCAAATCAGCCCGGAACATTGACAGTTGTGCATCGGTAAGGCTTGTTTTCGTTTTGGTTTTTACATACTTTGCTGGTTGTGCGCAAGTCCGGAAAATTTGTGCTGATTGTCAATGCATCTGGAGGAGATAGCACTGGGAGGAAATAGCGCTCGGAGGAGATAGCGCTCGGAGGAGATAGCGCACGGAGGAGATAGCACTCCGTTTTGTGAACGTGGCGTCTACACGAAAACATTGTGGGGGATTCCCATCCGAGTTGAGAGATTTCAGATGAGAGAAAGCAAAAAGAGGTGATGTCCGGTGGCTATGGGATCAAAATGTATTATATCTTCAACAGAAAGACCGGCGCGTAGTACACATGATGAGCACTGTACATACTGAACAACTGCATCACAAGCCTCCCCCAAAAAATGGAGAAGCGGCACAACTGCAAGATATGTAACGTGTGCGAAATTGAGTAAGACAAATGTCTTTTCCAGTCCCTGCTACATTTACGTGTATTTTACCACATCCAGAAACTGCTTCACCAAATGGCGCGCACACCACAATGGTTGAGACTAGCGGTAGAACTTCATAAATTATTTATCTACAGCACTAAAATTTGTAGCTCCTTTACTAGTGAAATTTGGCTTATCTTGTATATTTGAACTGTTTTAGCTGTTATTTCTTGCTGACATATTTGCATATCTTTCTCATTTTTGTAATGTTGGCGACAATAATTTTGGTCTTCATAAAATAAAGGGATACTACAACAAAATTTCTGGCCTTTTTTCGTTGCCTATACGTGTCCAAGGGAGCAGTATCACATCAAACACACCCATCTCATGTTGAAAAAGACATGAAAAAGAATTCTAAAACGAATTAAACGATTAGCAAAGGGCACCTGGTGGATGCTGCTAAAGACTTGTTTGTAATGCCTGTCTAGGAACTTTGACAGGTAGTGACAATGCCAGTCTCGCCTAGAACTATACATGCCTTGAACCTGATGTCATCCTGCCAGCTCTCCGGCCAACACGAGAGAAGAGGGAAAGGACAAACTCCTTTCACCTGGGGACTCTTTTGTGTGTCCCAGATTTTCCCAGACATCACTATTCTCCCTCTACAAGATTATAGAAGATCAACCCATCACTCAAGATTCATACAAAAGCAGCTTTGAGGTTAGTTGCAGTGTCCTGATCGCTGGCGTGCTTCGGCCGCTTCGGTGGCTGGAACGGCTAGGACATCCTGTCGACATCAGCCTCGCCGCAGCTTTGCTCTCCCTGAGACAATCTACGTCATGACTGCACTGGACGTCGCGTGCTCTCCGGAATCCGCTGGCTGCTCTCCGAGCGCTTGCCATATTGAGCCATTTATAATGAAAAATTCAGCCATCAGGCTCAAAATACAAAGGTGTGATTGTCATTTGTGGATATTGTGGATCATATTCAGCCTATTTCTGAACTCGACAGGTATATTTCAAATTTTGTTCATTTCAAATTTTGTTCAAATATTCCTTTAAATGTCGCATAATTTATTTGATGCCTATTGCAAAATTACGTCATTAAAAAGAGTATTTATTGTGCTACATTTTGATATACTGCAACAAATTTTAAAAGCAAATGTTAAAAAAAAAAAAAAAAATTACTGGGACCCTCCAAAATGGGCAGTTTTCCAGTGTTAAAGGGATACTTCAACGAAATTCGAAACATTCCCGTTGTAATCAAAAATAGGTTGACTATGATCCACAATATCGGTAAATGACAATCGCACGTTTGTATTTTCAGCCTGGTGGCTGTATTTTTCGTTATAAACGGCCCACTCTGGCAAGCGCTCGGAGAAGGCCCAGCGGAGACCACGTGACATCCAACGCAATCGTGACGTAGGTCGTCTCGGGACGAGCAAAGCTACGGCGAGGCTGACGTCGAGAGGATGGCCTAATCGTTCCAGCCACCGAAGCGGCTGCTTTTGTACGAATTTTAAGTGACGGGTTAATCTTCTGTAATCTTGTAGGGAAACAATAGCTACTTCTGCGACACACAAAAGGCATTCTCGGGAAGAGGGGAGTTCCTCTTTCCCCTCTTTTCTCGCTGTGGCCGGAGGCGAGACACTCACCGTCACTAGCTGTCAAGGTTTCTAGACGGGCATTACAAGCGAGGCGTTAGCGACATCCACCAGGTGCTCTTTGCTAACTGTTTAATTTGTTTTAAAATTCCTTTTCGAGACTTTTTTAACAAGATATTGGTATGTTCGATGTGATACTGCTCCTTTGAACACATATAGACCAAAAAATGAGCGCCGAAATTTCGTTGTAGTATACCTTTAAGCTGTCGGCAGCAAACAGTTGAAATAAATGGGTTTTCTTGAGTACTGAAACCAATACCGACAGGGGTACCTCAAGAGTTGGAGTGCCAAACAAGCTGGTGCTACCATACTACACCAGGACCATTTCTCCAAGCAGTTTCTTAGTGGCTCTCCGAAATTGATTTTTGTTTTTTCTTGGGTCTACCTAGTTTTCTAAACTTCCCCTGGCAGCAATGCCCTAACATGATTTGTGAAAGGATGAGTAAAATGAAGTCGTACAGGTTTCTTTAAAGTTAAAGCATAATTGATGCACAGCATATTTCCAAAATAAGAAAAAAATAGATTTGGTTATTAAGGGTTGGCATTTACCGTTGATTCATAGCATCGAGGACATGTAACCACATAATCATGTGGAGTTTGGGATATGTCAATTGCATAACTGCAAACATCGCACATTCTGGTCAAGGCAGGCTTGAAGTCAATGCCTGGGTAGGCAGGGGGAGGGTAATCATCTCCTGTGGGAGCTGTGGAAAGAATAAATACACAATATGTCACTATTTAAAGCTGAGACACCCTTGGAGATAACATATGAGTACTTCTTGTCAATACCACCAAGAAGGAGACTAAGTTCAGGCACTAGTGTGCTGTCCCCCCCCAAGTCAATATTATGGACAACAGATATTACAAGCTTCACCGTATGGCAACGCTATGCACATGATAACAGCTTTCTAACCTGAATTCACTCATTTTTGTTGTAATTTTCCACTCTACACATTAGGTATCCTCATTCAAGTTGGAATTAGGGATTCATTCTGTAGAGTGCTGATTGACCCTGGCTTTCAGCCAGGGCCAATCAGGGAGAAACAACTTCCATTGCTCTTTTGATAGTTCCTTCTTCAGGTGTAATTTGCATCGACCCAGATCAACTGTGGCTCTTTCAACTGTTCCTATCTTCCCAAATCTTCCAATAGATGTTTGTGTTAAGCTGACACTCTTGAAACGGTTCCAAGTACAATATCCAGAGAGCTGATCAATTTAAATCCAGTAGCTAAAATTCAGTTGACGGGGGAACGAGTCAAAGAGATTCTGACTAAGGCCCACTTCAGACAGGGAAATTTTCTGAGAAATTCTGGGGTTGCTGGCGAGTTGTTCCCCTAGGCCCTTGCAGTGCAACACAAATTACTGGGATGGGGTATGGATTGAAATGGGTAAGAAAATCGAACAAAGAGGTGATGGCAGCCAATCGGAGACTTGCATGTGACACCTCCTGTGGTGGTGATAATAACTGACAAAGGGAACAGACTTCGTTCTGGTTTGCAATGGATTGTTTTCAAGGCTAAATGGTTTTAAAAGAACAATCAGTATTTCGAAACCCTACCTGAAGATATAATCAAACATTACTATGCATAAATTTGTGTTGTTTTTTTCTCCACCATAGTCACCACGGGCCCCTGGTATGGGGCTAACGCCTGACTGCAGTGGCCTCACTCTCCTCCCAAGTTCAATCAATAAACAAAGAAACTAGCATGAAAATTGCAATTTCAATGGTGATGACAAAACATAGTGAAACGAGTTGCTGGTTGTGAATGCAAGAGGCCCGTGTTGTTGGCATTGCAACATCAAAACGGCAGGAAATGTGGCTCTGTCTGAAGTGGGCCTAAGAAACAGGGTTGCCAACAATTGCACATGTTGCAGAACCGTCCCATTTTATCAGAAGGCCCTTATCAAGACGGTCATACTTCTCTGTGGTTGTATCAAACAAGGCACGTATGGGTTACAGTTGCAAGCACTTGACTGCTGACAGTACAGCAAAGCACAGCGCATGGTCAAGGCTCGTGATGGCTTGAGAAATATGTTATTAATGTGAAACGGTCTGTCTAAATTGTGCAATACATTTAAAATTTTAATGATGCTAATAACAAGACACAGCAATTTTAGCTTCGGGAGTTGCAGCGTGTGAACGCGGGAGGCCCATGTTTCTGGTGTTGCGACATCAAGACGTTGGAAAAAATTGCCACAACTGAAGCGAAGGAAGTGCTGCATCCAGAGCGTGTAAGCTGAGTGTGTATGGCTACACAGTTCACACGCCCTTGGTCTCTGTGGGACATACGGTAGGAAGGTTACCCAATCCCACCGTGGCAACCCAAGGTAGATGCTGTACATCCAATCCGAGTCAGGGACATCCAACAAACCCCCAAACCATCCTTGGAACGACGGCATAAGTTCACATAGTCAAAATCAGCTACACAGACCCAGAGCGACCCTTGCCTACCAAAACAAGCGTACCACCCCACGACTAGTTCATCAATACATCTCTCACTGAGCTGATGTTCCATCCATGCGCTCTTTTCTTGACAAACTCCACGTCTTGCACGGATCTAGCTGTCTGGTCATTTGGGGAAGTCTGTTGTGGTATTTTTGATGAGAAGCGCACGTGTAGAGCTTTATTCGGTGTTCATGCACAAGTCCTCATATTTTTGACTGCATAGCCACTGTAAGCTGTCGGCGAGTGCAGCACAACTGCAGTAAAACATCCAAGCTAAAGACAAAAAATAAAAGCCGTAAAACCTTTTTTTTGTATGTGTAGCACAAACCACCTCATGGCATGCTGCAATCCAAGTTAAAGACAAAAAAAAAAATGTAAAACCACTTTTACTTGCTTCAGTAATGAGGTGTGGTTCTAAAAGTGTGTGTGTGGGCGAGTGTGTGTTTCCTTCAATAAGAATTTAAAGGCACTCCGCAGTGGGGCCTTTCACTGCAGGGTCTTTTCAAATACCCTCACTGCACTGTGGCAGTGAGGGTATTTGGAAACCTAACGAGCTCCCCAGTGATACACGCACCGTACGACTTCCTTTCGGACGGCACTTGTAGGCGCGAGTGGAGTACCGTCGGACGGCACTGTAGACACAGCCTTCAGTAAAATGCATTGTTCAGGAATACAGACATACCGGTCGGGTGCGCTGATGAATAGTTGGTAGTTCTTGCTGCTGACGGTAGCAAAGGCGATGCCTCGACAAATGACATGGTGTTTGCAAACAGGATGAGCTCCAAACTTTCGTAAACTTGTGGCCTACTGTTACGGGGACTGACCAACCGGCGACCTATGTTATGGTGCCAGGAAAGTACAGTTTAGCGGTTTAACTCGGCTGGCTCGGCGTCCCACGCTTTCGCGCGTTTCACGGATCCGATCCGCCCGATGCCGACCGGCCGAATCCGACCACTGAATCCAACTGGGTAGACCACTGTGGGGTAGACGTGCTTAGCGCGATAAACCGGTATCCCGCTCACCCATGCGTTCACCGCGTTCACCACGGAAACGACGGAAAAGTGACCAGGGTTGCCAGGTAGTTTCTAGTTGAAACCGCCAAAAGCCAGACGGTGTAGCCCAAAAGGCCCAAAAGCCCCAAAAGCAGTCTTGTACACGTTACTAAAAAAAAGTAATCGATTACAATTACTGTTACTCTTGGCTAAAAAGTATTCGATTAGATTACTTGATTACTCGACAGCAAAAGTAATTGGACATTACCTTAAAGGACACATGCAAAGAAAAAAAAAATTTTTTTTAGACAGCTTAGATGGAAAAAGGATGTCATAAAACGATTTTACAACGAAGAAACAAAATTTTTAGAGCTATATTTACGGCGCTATACGAATTTGTAGTTGGCGCTCGCGGGAGCCGCCGCGGGTCACGTGGTAGGCCCGCGCGCCGCCGCGCTGCGTCGCCGCCGCACGCTGAGCGTCAGCTGAGCGTAGAGCACTATATAGGCCCGTTCACACACATGCGTCCGTAGCGACCGGAACGACCGGAACAACCGAAACGACCGTTGCAACGGTCTGCAACCGTCAGTTGCCATAGCGACGGAGGGACGCACGCACGTGTCGTTCCCGACGCAAGGAGTTGGAGCGAGCCCAACTTTCCCCGATGCGTTGGAAACGACCGAAGCGACCGCAACGACAGACCAATCACAGGTCGAGGAGAATGGGTCGAGCGCGTTGCATGCCGGCATGCCGGTCTGCCGGTCGCGGGTTGCCTCCTTCTGTCTGCAAACATGGCGTCGGTGGTGATCGTCGACGTCGGGGTGAAAGTTCATCGTTCCGCGTAAAAGCGCTAGCCTTGACTGTGAATTTTCGTCGTGTGTCGCTATGATAACCCAGCACGTATTAGAAGGGAAGATCCACCTACTCGTGCGGCGATGTCGTGGTTGTACTCTCAAGACAGCAGAAACTCCCGTGCCGTCGTGTTTGTTTACTTCGACTACAGTGGTGCTTTCTGAGCATTCGTGTCCTCGAACATCGCCCGGATTTCTGATTTGGCGCATTCCTTGCGTGTGCCCAAGTTCAAGGTATTACTGGTGCGTACCGTATAAAGGATGCGAATTTTTTACTCGTTTTCATCGCCCGAAAAAGGTGATTAGTGTTAGCAATCCTGAACGCTCGCATCGTCTGTCAAATTATATTTCTACGTTGCTATATCGTTGCTAAGATTACATCGTCTTTTATAATCGTAGAAAAGGCGTGTGGCGAGATTTGTACTGTTGGCAAAGTCGTGTATTAAAGTCGTGATCGTGCAAGACGGCGTACTGCATCTCTTTCTTCTTTTTTTTTTTTTTTTTTTTAATGCACTACCCTGCAAGTTTATCCTGAAAAGAGTAATAAAGCTTGAGGTCATAGAAGACGGTCTGTCTATTTTCTGTTACGCAAGTGAGTGGCAGCGCGTCCCCTTCTTTTTGGAGGCACCGCTGAAACAGCTGACGGCAACGGAGAGGCGGTCGCCGTGCTGCCGACCCGCTGCGCTTGTTGCAGTGGTTGCAGGTGTGTGTACGCGCGGCGCAGAGCGGTCGTTCCGGTCGCTTCGGTTGCAACGGACGCATCGCGCTCGTTGTACATGTCTGAGCAGAGTAGCGCAATCCTTTGAACCCCGTGTTTTGCCGACAACATGGCCGACAGAGCTGCTCGGCGCGAGTCACGTGGTACTCAGGGTTCCAAGAGGCGGCCCGCCCTATGGGAGAATACATGGAGATCGACATAACACGGCTGATTAAAAAACTAACGGCGAGTTCACATTTTTCAAAACTAGCCTGTCGTGAAGTTAGTAAAGCGCTAAACACTTTATCAAAGTTTTAATGATATCGGATGCGTGTGCAAATTTTGAGAAGGCAATTTCCAAGGCAATGGCGTTTGAAGCAGACGATTTTTGCTCGCAGCGGAGATGGGCTTTTCGGGTTGGCCGGAGCGGGTCACGTGAATGGTGTGACGTCGCCGTGTCGTCTGCTGCATGATGCCGCTCAGGCAATTTTTTAAAAAAAGTCAGGTCCTTGCGGGGCACAAAACTTAGCGCAAAGTATTCTAAAGTGTTCCATTATTATGTCAAAAATGATTTCGATTCCGTACATTCCCACAATACTGGAGAAACAACGATTTTCTCACGTTCTCCATGCATTTCTGACAGCAGTTGGAACCTCCGGGCGTTCGCCGCTAGTCGCCGAGAGGCGGCTAGCGGCGAACGCCGCTAGCCGCCTCTCGGCTAGCGGTTTTTTTTTTTTTTTATTTCTCTGTGTGTGTGCGTGAGGCCAGTTTGAACGAAGGACTTACAAAGCTACATTCTGCTCCCTCAAATTTCGTCCTGAATGGCCTTTGTCACGCACTAGGGCTTTCCTTGGGCTTCCCAATCCCAGTCTCAGCTAAAAAGAAAAAAAAAATAACAGACATTTTACAGAAGCTATACATACAAAGGGGTTGACCTCGTTTCCTACAGATCCGCAATGTTTTTTTTTTTTTTAAACAAAAAGCAAATTTTATTTTTGTCATTTCAGAAAAGAAAGGTATGTGTGTGTGTGTGTGTGGGGGGGGGGGGGGGGGGGGGGGGGGTCCCGTAGAAAAATAGTAACGGTTAGAAGTAATTTTTATTACTTCAAAAACTAATCAGATTACTCGTTTGATTACTGCCTAATAAAAGTAGTCAACTGATTACAAAATTATTCAAAAAGGTAATCGATTACAAGTAATTTGATTACTTCTAATGCGTACGGTACAGGTCTGCCCAAAAGTAGCCAAATGCAAGAAATTTATGTAGCCCAAAAGTAGGGGTGTCGCGAACTTTTGTCGAACCAGAATTTTAGGTCGAACTTTCGGGGTTCGACTGGGTCGAACCGGTTCGACGAACCTTCGAACTTTTCACCAGATTCGACCGGTTCGACTTTGTGGACAGTGTGGCCAGACCTTGATACAACCATGTCTAAGTTTGGAGAATTTCTTTTTTATAAAAAGGGTTATTTTATTTTATAAACAGTTGCGATTAAAAAAAAAAACAAATTCTAATCACTGAAGAAGTTAATAACTTAATTTTTTGTACTGTATTAACTGAAATAACCAATCAGCGCTGCCTTTACTTCATCTCTTGGCCATCGCCATCCAATCCGAAGCCAACTGGCCAGCCTGTCGCGCATGCGCACACGAGTCGAACCTCAATACAAGGTTCGTCGAATTTTTCACTAAAAGTTCGAAAAAGTCGAACCTGGTCGAACTCGAACCTCGGCCGGTTCGCGACACCCCTACCCAAAAGTAGCCATATTCTGCAGAGCCCAAAAAATTGTGCGCTCGAATGTGCGACCTCAATTCGAAGACACTGCGTCTGCATATCTAGGGTTTAGGAGCAGCTTGCAGGATCTACGACTATTTCAAACTCGAAAGTACAACAATTTTCCACACGCGTTTTTGCAGTCACATAGTTACGAAGCACTCGATCGTGCCCGTCTTACCCGCCTCATACATGATTTCCATGTTAAAACGCGGAAAAACTTCTTCAGTAGGGTTGATGTCCTTACAGAACTCGTTCTTCCCAAGGAAAGCAAACTTTACCAAACTGTACATAGAGGACGTTTTGAAGAGTTGGAAGGGACACCTTCTTGGGCGTTCTTCCTTAGGCCCGACTTTGTGAGGGACACGTGACTGAATATACTGAATACTCTCTCTACGGCGGCATTCGACATGGGCAGTGTCGGGAGCGGGATGGCAAGCTCGGATAGTAACGGAAACAGGGCCGCTTCTGCGCATTGATCTTGGCCTTGTTCGGAATGTTCATTGTCCCAAATTGCTTGTCTTTTGTTATGGCTCATTGTGTTTTAAAGGGGTACTCCACCGATTTTTTGAGCTACCTCAACTAACTATATTTTCTGACTCCCCGGCCTTTACTCTCTCCGGTATGCTATTCAGAATCGCGAAATTCATAATAGTTATTGCGAAATCGGCAAATGAAAATGATGCAAAAACCAACATTCAAATATACGCGCGCTTTTCAGGGCCGTGACGTCAGTGGCAGGCAAGCTTGCCAGTCGAGCAAGCAGCCAAAAAATAGAATATGCCGATCATTTGCTCCGTGCTGGAGCGCGGGTACTGCAGCGAGCTTCCCAAGCATTCATTTGACACCATGAAACTCCTTCGAATCAGTTTAAAACAAAATCTACAGCCCAAAGAGTGAACCCCTGCCTTCCACTGACGTCACTTTTTCACTGTTGCCAGTAGAGACTTCGAGCTTGAAAAACACGGTGAGGACCAAAACTGTAAATTCAATAACTTCGCGAAAAAACAATATTTTGACCTAATATTTGGGATACTATTTTCGCGATGTTTGTTGGTTAGTTTAGCAAAATTTCAAGCAAATCGGAGACAATGAAAAAATCGGTGGAGTAGCCCTTTAAGAAACTTCCATGTTTCGCGGAAAATTTTCCTCTGTTATATCCGGTACAGCACGCGTTATCGGGCGACATCAAATTCTGCAGGATGTCTTGAGTTGTCTTTAGTATCATTCTTCCTCGGATGAGGTGCTTCCTGTAGGAGGATGGTGGGAAACTCGAGATAATAACACACGCCAGTAGGAAGTAGAAAGAAAGGGTTTACTGCGTTTACTGTCACTGTGTGTCCATGCTGAAGTGTCTTTTGGACAACTACTCTAAACCAAGCAAAAAAAAAATGCCGCTTTAGGATTTGAAATAGCCCAAAAATAGCCACATTGCCAACCGCCCCAACTACCCAAACTTGACTGCCGCCATGTTGTACCGGTTTGACCACAAGACTAGGGGTGTCGCGAACTTTTGTCGAACCAGATTTTTTGGTCGAACTTTCGGGGTTCGACGAACCTTCGAACTTTTCGCCAGATTCGACCGGTTCGACTTTGTGGACAGTGTGGCCAGCCCTTGATACAAGCATGTCTAGGTTTGGAGAATTGTTTTTTTATGCAAAGGGTTATTTTATTTTGTGAACAGCTGCAATTAAAAGAAACTAAATCTCATCACTGAAGAAGTTAATAACTTAATTTTTAGTACTGTATTAACTGA